ATTTTGATCAAACTCTGATTTCTTTGGTAGAAGTTGTTCAACTTCTTGTCGAAAAGTCTGGATTTAATTATCTATCGTCGAGTCCCCAAACCATCGGAAAATGAGAATCCGATGGGTAACTTTGAAATTTCGATGCTCACAATAACCTAAAATCGATGCATAAAAATGTCTATTGAATGACTGGTTGAGATATGACTATGTTTTATCTAAAAACCGCATGGTCAAATTATCTTTTTTTCGTTAAGCTATGATTATTAAAAAAATAAGTTATAATTTGAAAAATTATATCATTATAAGGTTCTCAGTAAGTAGAGCCTTTATCAGTTAGTAGTTAGGGGTTGATAGTAATTATTACTATTTATCTGTTGCTAGCAAGTAGTAAGTCATTACTTAAACTACTCTGCAGTACTTCTGTGTAATAGAATGTATTTAAATCACATTAACAATCACTAGTGAATGGTCGCCATTTCAAATCAAGTGTTGTCTACTATTTGTAATCGAAATTAAAGTAATGAGAAGTATAACAATCCAATGAAGAGCACCTTTTCTAGCGAGTCTTTATCATGACTTCAGATTTATTCTTACTATATGTTCTCATCAATGTTCAAGTAATACAATAAATTGTTGAAACAAATATCATTTTTTGTTAATATGTGATGAGAGCAAAACACAAGCTTCTCTTGTACTAGTTCCGATCGTACTACCACAAACTGATATGATGGGCAAATATAAAATTGCAGTAAAGCTCAGATTGAATAGCTTTTCATAATCACATTATTGATAGTAGATATAATATTGACTTTTTCAAAACACATGGTAATATCATACTGTTCAAGGTCTGTTTATTGTATTTCACATTAAAAAGCGTCAACTCTAGTTTAATCGTACACTGCAATATATCAATAAACAAATAAATAACAATAATGCTTAAATCTTTATATAGTAAGCAACAACAACAACTGCAACTTGTAACACTATACGTTAACATATCGTATTCCATACAAAACGCCCTGGGAAAAAAGTCTTTCTCTCTTCCCACATATTCCTCTTTTCAGCTTATTTTATTTAGGAGGGCGGAAAGACTTTTTCCCACAAATGTATATTATTTCTCTTCTCTAGAATAATATGATATCGAAACTCTTTCTCTTTTCTCTCTTTTGAAAGCGAATATATATATATATGAGTGAAATACATGATCAACGAAAAGAATCAAGTCAGTCTTTTCTCTGATTGCTTATAGTTGGGTAAAAAGTAGGTAAGTTCACATTGAATCGTTTCTTATTATATATATTTTCTTTCTTCAATAGATAGAAATATAGTTCATCATTTGCCTACATTCGAAACAAATTATCTTTCGTTTTGTACTGTTATTTTGCTCAGCTACATCAGTTTTTTCCTCTCTCTTTCAATCACTAATTCTTTCATTTTCATCTGTTTACTTGTGATTCAGCTCATTTAAAGAGTAGTTGCCTAAGCTAGCTATCAACTTCAGTTTACGCACATAGTCACAATCCATCTACGATTCAGTATAAGTAATGCATACATGTATTCACGGAAAAATTTTTTGAAAAAAGTCACTATAAACCGCAGCTTTTCGAATTACACTATAGTACTGGATATCATGGTGTATGCCGGTTTCGAATATCGCGGTTTACTTACCGATAACCGCGATACTTGTTATTGCGATAGTTTCTGATTTCATATACTACGATAACCTCTCTCAAAAACGTGGTATCGAATATCATGGTAATTAAAGGTTTCGTATACTGCGGTATACTTATTGACAATTGCGGTATCGGATATCACGGTGGTTACCGGTTTCTGATACTGCAGTAAACTCACTGAGAATCGTAGTATCGGATATCGCGGTAGTTTCTGGTTTTATATATTGCAGTATGCTCATCGATAAATGTGGCTTCGAGCAAAGATGGAGCACCAGTACTACAAAGAAAGGCAATGATCTCCTGTAAAAATAATTTGAGGACGCAATAAATCTTTTATTGAGTCCTTCAGTTTTTTTGAAGCGTCTTTTTTTTACTAGAGTAAGACTAACTATTTCAACGTATATACATATTCCGAACGACTTTGTACTTACTGTAGAAAGATTAATTACTAGTTATATTATATTTTGTTAATTACTATCCTGTTGATTGTACTTCTAGTGGCACATATCTAAGATTTGCTTGTTTAACCACTAATAAGAAATCGAAATTTTGATTATTTTCAACTTTTTTCTTCCACAATTCCCAAAATCTTAAGTTCTTGGAGGGAAGGCTTTGAATTTTAGATCAGCATAACTGAAGAAAATTGCGGTGTCGTATTTATATTCGTGGTATTCAGCAGCCCTGCTAACGGTAGTTTTAGAAACTGCATTGATTCCGATTGTAATCACGTTGTCTAACCTTGAAATTTTTTAAAACATCAAATACCGAAAATATAGTTATAGCTGTAGTCACGATTCATGCCATCAATATTTTTTAAAGATAGTTTTCCATAAAACCTCGGCGTTTTCACGTCACAAGCCACAATTTTTTGATATCGATGCGCATATATTGTTCACTAGTGTCTCTATATACTTCGTACAGTACATATCAAAGTATGATAGAATGTGTGACGACGACGACGATGTCGTGCACAACTTTTTTAAAGAAACTTAAAACAAATTTGCTAGTTCATCTCACAGTACAAAGTGTTTTTGCGTTAATGAAACCGAAGAAATAGTCTGATTTTTGCGGTTTCTAAAAATCGTTGATAACCGCAGTTTTTCTTCAAAAGCTATTTTAAATATTTAAAAGCTTATTCAATGATTGTTCCCTCCTATTCTCTCCAGCCAATCTGTGAGTTGATCTGAATTCGTAAATATTTATTGATCCAAATACCCAATTCGTCAGTTATGTTAAATATGAAACTTAAGTGTCTTAGTATACAAAGAATAGATATTAAATCTTTTAATGATAGAATATTAATTACTTTACTGTTATGTGATTGGGTATTTCAAATGACATCTAAGACTTTAACTACCTAGCATGTGAGAGGGAAGAAATTCATATGGACATTTTTTCAAGAAAAAAATATATTTAAATTAAAAAGGCAGATAGAATAAATGTAGTTAGGTTTCGATTTTTCGAGACAATTAGTAGAAATTATTTCATAGTATGAGAAGGCAATCTTATTCTCACAGATAGTCCGACTAGTGGAGGAGAGTCAAGTGTGTAACATTCACCGAATAATTGAAAATTTTCATTATTGTTATTATTCGAAAAAACCTTGAATAGCATAAACTCTGAAGATTTGCTAATATTTTTTTAAGGATACAGAAATAAATAATCTTTCTTTAAGGTCATGTATAATATCTTGAACAATATGTTATGAAACTTTTATATTTGAAGAGCTTCGTTTATTGGATATTCGCCAAGGTTGTAAGCACTTTTAGGAAGTTTCGTAAATAGGTATTTAATGACAGTTTAGTCATTCGAACGAAATGATAAAGAATGACAGAATTTCTTATTAATCTACCAAAAATGTCCTCCTCAGAAATAGTTCTACTTGCATAGACATAAGCATCTTTCGAAGACTTAATTGTTAATTTAGGGAAGTTTCAGTTCATTAAATTTTTGAAAAAGATAAGTTCGGATAAATAGTTGTCATCGTTGAGAGCTTTTTTTTTTTTGAAATTCAAAATTTTTTTGTTTTTCGTCAAATAAATTGAGATGCAGCCGAGTTTTTTTCTAACTATAAGTACTCGTTAATTGAAAAATTTTCTTGTATCATGAATAGCGAAAATAACAAAAAAATAACATGAATTTTTTTAGATATTATTTGATTTTCAATCAGTTATTAATCGATTTTTGCTTGATTTTAACCGTAAGTTTTCTTGCGTGAGTATAATGGAAAAAACTTTTTACATCTTTTCAAAGTTTCAACACAGTCGATCCATCCTTTTATTTCTACAGACAACCATTGAAAGTTATCTTTAAAGTAATTACCATTAGTCGAGTTACAAAAAATTTAACTTTTTTCTTTTTGATTCCATAATAATATTTTGCACTGTTTCTTTTTATGAATAAACATCAAAATAAATTGATGTAAAACGACTGTCTGAGATTTTACTAGTTCAAAGATCAGAATTAATCCAGAAATTGAAATGATTAAAAAACGAACATTGAGAAATATTATAATAGAATCAAGAAAAACAGTCTTGAATTTTTGTATCTTGACTGAAGGTAACTACTGTGAAGAACACTTTAATAGATTGTCTATAGAAATAAAAACTTGATCTTATCACCTATTATACGAGGAAAGACTATTGATAAAGGTCCATTAATAATAAAGTTATTTGAAAAAAACATTTTTGTGTATCGACTTGTAGGACTCATCGTACATTCACCCATTCATCATTCAAACAAAATGGTTATAAAAAGATTAATCTTAAACTGTTCTAACGCATTTTTGACGACTAATCAAACATTTTAAACATTTTATGAAGTATAGTGTTTAAATGCTATTTTGATCGTTAATGTGTCTGCTTAAGTTGTCGCAGTTAAACATATTAAAGTACTTAGAATATTAACCTTTATGAAGAATCAAAGCTAAATTGGTTAGTTGTACGTATAATATAAAAAGTTATGTTATTTAAAGTAATAGAAAATAATGTTAAATTAATGACTTTATTAATTTCATATCTTTCTTGTTCTTTTTTTTTCTTACAATATTCTCATGGTTATATTCTAATCTTCAAAAACTATTTGTAAGAATAACGTGACAACAATTTATAGGTTTGTTTCGTTAATGATGCTAATTTTGTTTTCATCAACTAAGTAAAAAGAATATGAACAAAGATATTTTTGATATTATAAAATAAGTGTTTGATACTTGTATTTATGTATGATGTCGTTCATACTTGATTCAAAATTAGATATTTTTATAATAGATATATAAATTAATGATCATCAGTTTTTATTTATTTTAAGAATTGATTTCTATTTTTTCGATTTGGAAAAATGGCAAAACGTGATGTAATTAGTGCTACATTTGAACAAGTTGATACCAATCGAGATGGAAAGTAAGAATTAAGAACTTTTATCAGAATAATAAAACCATATATATACATATTTAGAATTGATAGAAATGAACTGCGCAATTTTGTTTCTAATACTGAAGAATCGCGTCCTGCACCATGTGAATCATCAATTATTGAACGTAATTTTAATGATAATACTACCGGTCGATTTGATCGAAATATTCAGAAATATCCGGCTGATAAATACACTCCATATGGAACTACAACATTTGTGAGAGATGCGATTGATGATACGGTGATTAATACAAATAGTTCAGAAGAAACGAATCGATATATTGAACGATCACCTGGTAATATTTATAAGGATCCTAATCCACAAATTATTCGACGAGCAGCACCGGAACGTCCAGTAACATATGAACAACGAATACATCTTAAATATCTTCAACCACCAGCTGTTCCAGCACCAGGAGTAAGGAAATAAATATTTGCAAATTTAATCTTACTAACCTTTATATGGTTTTAGCCACTCATTATTAGAGAAGTGCGTCCACCACAACCACCACTACCTCCACCACTTATCATACATGAACAATCAACATCTGCTTGTGTACCACCTCCACTTTATTTACGTGAACGGCCACCAATACGACCACCATGTATTCGTAGTGAAACAAGTTAAGCAAACAAATTTAAATTACATAGATTAGATTGATCAATGTATTTTTTTTTACAGCTACTAAGTATTTACCTGCTATACCTCTTCCACCACGATCAGTTATCATCGAACGTTATCCACCTCTTCCAGAAAAACCACGTAAAAGAATTATCTTGAGGTTCCATTTGTTTTTCTTAATTTGAGATTGCTATTTAGGTGATATTTATATTGAACGATGGCTTCCTTATGGACCCCCACCTGAACGTCGTACAATTGTTGAACCTGCTCCTCCTCCTATACCATATCCAGAACCACGGAATAAAATTATTACTTATGATGCTGTTGAAGCACGTACAGTCCGAAAACTTGAACATCTTGGTCTTTGTAACAAAGATCCTGCCGATTACGTAGCTCGTTATGGCGATTCACTTTTAGATTCAGAGACACTTGTTCAACGGGCTCGTAATGCTGGAGTTATTGAAGATTTGGTAAAAAAAATTTTTCCAAAGAAAAATAATCTTCAACAATAAAAAATATATAAACTTTTTATTGTAGTCACCTCCAATAGGATTATCTTCAGGCTATACACAGAGACGCGTAAATACTGCTTTTGATCAGTCAAATGAAATAATCAATCGAGGTTCTTCATCATATGGTGGATTCTGTTGTGATGACTGTCGAGAAGAAGCTGGTGCGCCAGCTATTAATCGTGAACATACAAGTTATGCATCATCATCGAAGTTTAGTCGTGATAGTAAAACCAAATATGGAGTTTATGATGATGATGCTTGCCTTACCGCTACAGATGCTAACCGTGATGGAAAAACAAAAGAAACAGAACATCAACAATATATTTAAAACATTATTTTAATAAATTGCTTTCGCTTTTGCTTCAATATACTGCTTCTTTATATTTTTTATAAGGGAACCTAAAAACTATATAATAAAAGACAAAAAATAATCTGAAAAAAACTGATCAAACAGTACTGATAACACTATCAACTGAATCACGTTTTCTCGTGTATTATGTTAGTGTTATTTTTAAACGAGCTCTTTCTATTTCATCATAGCATAGATTAAAGTGTGAATGTGGACAGATATCTACAGTTCGATGACATTCACACCCACACTCTGCTAGATAGAGTTCAACTATGAGTTCGCTAATAAGAATCTAGAAATTGAATCTTTTTCCCTTGTCGGGTATTTGTTTTTTTCCTGGCATTCAATAACTAAAATTAGTACTATGAGGGACATTTTTGCTACTTGTTCGTTAGCAAATACAATACACTTTGATAACTCTAGAAACCTCTTTCAAGGAGGAAAAATCTCGTAAAAGTTCTCAAAACTATACATCTGTATAGTGAATATTTGGGAGAAGCCTTTTCTACTGTTCCTAATAGAGAGTCTATGGTATAATATCAGTAACTCGTACTCTGCATATATGGTTTGTTAAACTTTCTGTGAAAAAACAAATTTGCGTATGATATTGAGTACTCAAGTCATCGTCGATGGGGAAATTTCGAGTTAAAAACTCGTATGAGTAATTTTAAGAGTATACGAACTTTATTCATACACATAAAACTAATTGAATATTCGTGCGAGTAATTTGTGTACTCATACTGTCGAGTCGTACTTATCTGGTGAGTATTCCCAATAGAATGAATAAAACTGTTCATCATAAAATCAAACCAATAATACCTAGAGTGTCGATATGAGATGTTGATGTAAGTGGTCGAATATGCGATGGGGGTCTCACCTGTGTATATACCCATCTACATCACATTCAATCACCCGCTTACAACTACAGGTACACTTCGATCGACACACTGACACTTATACTCAAATCGACTACTCCACTAATACCAACATCCTTATGATCTGATTTGATCGAACATTTTTAGAATATGTTGTTGACAGAGGATATGAAGTTTACATTCAATAACGGTGATTTATGTTAGTGATCAGTTTGAAAATGCTAACAAAGAAGAATCTTAAAAACCACAAGTTAAATCATGAAATGTTAAAGGAAATTAAAAACTTCTGTGAAATTTAAATATATCGAATAAGAACTTGTTGGCTTAAGATTTCGACGGTATAATTATTGCTTTGACCCTCAGCGCAACATTGAATTTGAATAAGAAAGATAAAAAACGTGTGAATTGTGGACAGAAAGACAAACATTTAGAATTAATGTAGAACTTTTTTCTTTGCATTTGATAACAAACTGAAGAATTTCATTTTATCTTGATGTTTATGACAATTCTGGCGAAAAACAACTTCAGGAAAAGGCCTTTACTCCTATTGGTTAGAAAAGTAGAGAGCTCTTTATCTTGCCAAGTCACAAGACATCATAGTTGCAAAAGATAATGACATACCTTGAAAGAATAGCACACTACTTGTTGTATAATAGGCATTTCTTTTTTCATTTAGTATTTGTTGACTTATTAACTACTTCATTATTTAACATTTATGGCTGATAGACAAACTGATACACTAGTTGATGGATTGGGTTCTCAAAGTGCGACAATACCCACTCCACCACCAAAATATGAGAAATTCGACGTCGATGACTCTACTACAGTGACTGTAAAGAGCGGCAAGTTCGTATAAATAAGCTAAAGAAAACTGTTGTCATAAATCATTGTCAATATAGAAAGCTAGGTCCCCTGGTCAAAGCTCTTATTGCTGTAAGCGTTATCGTGATTGTGGCGACCGCAGTGACTGTCCCAGCCGTTCTCTTAACTCGACAAAAAACTACAACCACACCTAATTCGCCGCCTACAAGTGGACCGCCCACACTGTCAACAACGTTTGTCTCATCGACAAGCACAACAGCAATAGTGAGTGTGGCTTCGATAGTCACAGAAGCAACGTCGGACTTCGCTTCGACAACTACAACAACAACAACAGACACTGCATCGGTAGACTCAGAAAAAACGTCGGACGACGCTTCGACAATCACTTCTACTACAACAGAGATGCTGGGTGAGATTTGACCGCAGAAGAATCTTTTCTTCATCCTTGTCTTTTTAGCAATAATCGTTTATGCATTGAAGGTGAGGGAGAAATGCGAGTACGAGTAAACGGAAGATCCTCGCTTATACCCGCATCTTTAATCGATGATCCGTCTGACCAGTCATTGATCATCCACAGATGGGCAGAGTTTCAACCAAAATACGCAGAAAGTTGAGTGTATCATATAAAAGAGAGTGATCTATAGTATTCCAAATGGAAGTATTTTCTATTCCTTAGCAACATTGAATGCTTCTAAGACGTGAAGTTTTCTTGGAATGGACAATGTTCTAATTTATGGAAAAGGTAGTAATAAAACAAATCGTTAAACAAGGAACGATCAGCAGAAAATAAGTTCTTCAATGAGTTGTTAATCGATCAGATACTAAGTATTCTTTCCTTAAAAAACCTTTGTACAAATATTAGACTTCTACGAAGTAAAAGAGTATGTTCAAAAACTGTCTCTGTTCTTGACGAAATTCTGTAACACTACTCACTCGTGTAGCTAATTTTCATAACAAAAGTTACGTTTTCAGATAGAATGCGACAACCTTCAGAGAACACATCCATTTTCTAGTAATCCTACATTTTAGAATTTCATGAAAATCTAAATTTTGTTATAATTTTATAGTATTCAGAATATATTTGGATAGGCATCTAATTCTGAAGAAAATCGAGTAGTTAATCAGAACTCACGCTTTTATATTTATCGAATACTTCTCGAGTCGAAAAAGTTGAAAAAATTCTTTCGTTGCATCCTGAAGAAAAATGTATTATTTGATGCACAACCAGATGTTAGTGATGAATTTCTGGCTACTTTTAAGCTTGTCTACTTTAGTTGGATTATAAACTGTGATTTTCTGAAAAATAATAAAATTCGGTAATGCACACTATTTATAGTTTATCATTCGATGCATTTACTGTTGTTCAAGAAAAAAAACATAATCTAATATTTTGAAAGCTTGTTAAAATCTGAACAATTTTTATACAGAAAGTTTATTTGTATGTCCCTTTCTCTCAGACTAAAATGCCAAAAACACAGCACCACTAAAAAAAGACTCCATTTCTTGAAACTTCGTAGGACTTGATATTTTCTAAATAGCTTAATTCAACACAAAGAAAAATCCATCAAATTTATACTAATAGTAGATTTAAATGGCCACTATCTATAATAAGTGTCCACAGATTCGCTTTTATCTTTGACGAAGAATAGATATCAACAGATAAGAAGTGAAATTTCTTAACGCTTAAACACTTCATGAGGTCAATTATCAATGTTCAGTTTTGCAAAGTATTTGAATTATTCAAAATGAAATTTAAACGAAAATATCTATTGACTTGAATCAGTTTGAGAAATACACTCATATCAGTGCTTGATGGTCAGCAGTTATATTGTTTGGTGTCGATCATGACTCATAGCATCGTCAAGCTAACGTTTCCATCTACATCGCGTACTAGATTGATACTTGAATCAATTTTGTTCTTCATTTTACATATCTCTCGAGTTTCTTTTTTTTCAATAAGAGTTTATTTTTAGCAAACTGTTATCAAAACACTAACGAAAATATCTATTTTTTATCATGTCCACGTATAATAAATGTAAGCCGCTTTGGTCAGGAAGAAATCGGAAATTGATGAAACTTAGAGGCAGTATTCTTGGCGGGATAGTTTCAAGATTTTTATAATGGCGTTCGATAAGCTTTCCTTTCGCCCTGTGGAAAACAGCCAAAAATCATGAAAAAAAAATCCGAACACTTTCTGATTCGCAACACTGTCTCTAACTTCCCTCAATTTTCAATGTTTTCCTATCGAATGCGATAATTTTTCTTCATGTTCAGATCTGTTTCAATGAAATTGACTTGAATCGATATTATCATGCGCATTTCGTTAAAAGAAAATTATCGAAGCCAATAGTATTCAAGATATTAGACATAAATTCTTCAATTGTTGAACAACTATGATAAGCATTACAATCATTTATTGGGAAATCGGAGAAAAACCATTAATTCATCCACAGTCCCATAATCTCTAATAACTCGAATAATGGATTTTCTACAATACTTTTTGCAGTCACGAATTTATTTTTACAGAGAGTTCTGCTGATCTTGACAGGAATATGACGCATACCTTGAACAATGTGATATTTTGATTTTGGGAATTAGAAAGCTATGGAACAATTCAGGAGAAATTCCTATTTGTCGATAGACTTTCTAGTCTTCAATTGTAGCTGCCTCAGTTTGTACATAATTGAAAAATAGGTTAATCCATATATGTGATAGAATGACTGATTCAAAATAAAAGCTTTTATCGACCATCTACGTATAAAAAAGTCTATTAACAATAATGAAAAACTGTCACTTTTCTATCGATCAGAGGATAAAAAATCTCGTACAACAAAATTGAAACCATTTTTACTCTTTGGAATGTTTATACTTTTTCACTTAGAGTAAGAAATAAGTTTTGTTCTAAAATATTTCAATTAGACACAAAAAATCTTATGTCTTCGATAATACTCCACTTATCAGTCTTCATGTATTCAAATGGTTCTTTTAGACTGGCTTAATACTGGCAGCATGAATACTGCACGATCTGAGCACACAGCATCTCTATTAACTAATGGACACGTGTTAATTACTGGTGGAAGATATAATTCAAGTTCGTATCTGAATGATGCTGAATTGTATGATCCAACAACAGGAACTTGGACAACAACTGGTAGCATGAATTATGTACGACGAAGTCACACAGCATCCGTTTTAAAAAATGGAAAAGTATTAGTTACAGGTGGATTTAATGGTCTTCAACGTTTAACTAGTGCTGAATTGTATGATCCATCAATAGGAACT